ACTATAGTATATATTGTGTAGTACATATATTACAGTATAATACTGTATGGTACATACAATAGGGTGTATATAACAATATAGATCAAGGATTCAGTTTTTCGCAGCACTTGGTTTGGTCAAAGTGACCTTCCAAGCATTGCCACTATATTAGATGATGTAGAATAAAAATTCTCGAAAAAAAATTTTCCGGACAGAAACTTTATAAATATTGTACACCGGTCACGATGAACGGTCATCGATAGAGCATTCACATGATATTAATTTCACAACAGTTGGCTTGGCCACATTCGTTAAAGTCACTTTCATTTCATCAGTCGCATATTTGACATAGTATAAGAATTTTTTTTTTTATAACAATTTTTAACTAACTAACTAACATCAAGACATGTTTTGTTTATAATATTTAAAAAAAAAAAAAATTCTCGAAATGTTTCATTTTAACTACAATTTGATTTAAATCCTTCGAAGGCTGCGTTCAAAAGAGCTCAATGTCAACAATTTTTATTATTATTATTATTAATTTCGCCAGAGAAATAAATTCTAAGACTAAACTCTTAAAAGCACTAGCATCTAAGGCTATCGGCCTTTATTAAAAACTCTGCCGCACTTGAGATTCGAACCCACGACTACTGAGTTGCTAGTCGAGACTCTTGCCTACTCGGCCACCCAGGCGGATCAACAATTTTTAGATTTGTGCCTTTGCTACTAAAATTTAAATGCAAATTAACAGCCTTTCGCAAAAGAAAGCATTTTATTAGAAAGAACGTCGGACGGGGCGGGTATTTAATGAAAATCTTTATAGCTCCCACGAGACGGCGATGCTATTCGCACTGCAAATTAAATGAATATGCTTTTAAAAATTATTGCTTTTATTATTATTATTATTATTTTTATTATTATTATTATTATTATTATCATTACGAACGCAAATCGCTCTTGCTTATCGCTTAGAATACTATATGAATAGCTTACGCAACTGATAGAATCAATTATAAATTAAAATGTTTTGGATATATTCCTTTGTAAAGAGCACTTAAAAGTTTCACATATTTGCCTCTAATTGAACTAACTGACGTAAAACGTATACCCTTACCGATCTTTACTCGTATCTAAGTGATTAGTGAGATAAAACAATGTAATTATTACTGTGTAAATCATCTTCTATTAAAAGCAATTTTATATACACAATACACACATACACTTACTTATAGATGATTATAAACTTTGCATTCAAAGAAATCTGAAAAAGGCTGAACAAACATAATTAAGACATTTGAAGAAAGAGAAATAAGAAACAGAAGCAAACAATTTGCAAAATGAGATTTTATTATATCAATATTTCGAGCGAATTTAATTTCTTCTAAGAAATTATTAAACGCCAATGAATTAAAGTGAAAACAAAAGTGTACAGGTAAGAAGGCTATGCCTTAATCAGCTTCAAAGCATTTTCTAGATTCATCATCATCAGCTCAAGCACTTGTACAGCTGTTATTGATTTTTATAGTCTGGCCTCGTTTGCTTAAAAAAAAAAAAAAAAAAAAAAAAAACACACCCGCTATATGACGCGGTCGGAGTAAATTGCATATTAAAAGGTAAATTTTTATATTGATTTCCTCCAGTTATTCGCTATGCCTAAGGATCTGTAAGCTTCAGCTCTTGAGGAATATTAAACGTTTAAGGATGAAAAGACCTAAATTATGTCTAAAAATGCATAATTCCTGAGAACAGTGCTCTCCTCATTAACCGCGATTCCACATTTTATTGATACGGAAATTTTATGGAACGCACAAGTAAACCGGATTTTGCCTAATATGATAAAAATCTGATAAGAAAATATGTATAATTTACAGGATTCTTCAATAGCTGATTAGATCGAACCAAAATCAATTATACAAAATTTTTAAAATTCCACCTATTGAAACCACGAAGATCAAGTGTCTACTTACGGGCCATCTTATGTAGCGTATTTGATTGCAGAATGCCTGCGTTGAAGTGCGACCGAGCCAGGACAATTGAAAATTGACCCTTCGGAGAATTTTATGGATAATATATTACATATTAAGGTATTACATAAGGTTCCTAGGGCATTGAAATGACACATATCAATTCTCTCGTTCTGCAATTCCAAGAGTAGCAAAATACCTTAAGTGATGGATATCCGCGTGTCATCACGCACCGTCGAATTAGGCGCGCATATTTAAAAGTTGACGTAAAACGCGAGATATAAGACTTTTGTCCTTTCCTTGCTTCCTTGGATATTCATCGTCGAAGGATCGAAGTAAACTAGATTTGTGCTTTCTTATTAGAGCCTTCATGGGGAGTTTAGATCGTTGTCGCGAAGCTTAAATTCGCCAAAAATTGAACTAAACATTTGAAATGCCTTACATAGAGCAAAACCATGCTGAATATATGCCCAAAATTAGGAACTAATAAGAGAATGAAAGGCCCTCTCTGTTTAACCTTAAAAGACAACGAAAGAAAGTCTAAATTAAACTTTCAGTGGTATTTCATGACTCATGTAAATCTTTTTATATAAGTTTTTTCTATCCTTCTTTATCTACTGTTACGGCATTTGAGTGTAAAGTTTCGTCGTTGCTATTAAAGTTTCAACGTTGCTATTAAAGAGTCGAATACATAATATAAAAAATCACATGCAAATATTAAAATGTCAAATAGAATTATTTTTTAAGGCATTTTTTCCTACGGCTTTTCGTTATTCATATATTGGAAATTCCAAACTTGTTTCTAGTAACATCGAATATTTATTCATTTATTTTATGAAGTTAGGAAAATCTAGAATGACGTTAAATTTCGATTTCGTGTTCCGGTTTTGAAACTCACGTTACAAATATAGGAATTTCGTCGTAGACATTAACACTGAAAGTGAAAATCAAAGCTGACTGTGTGTTCGATAATTTCGTTTGGAATTCTTAATTGTTGACATAAGAAAACTTATAATACACATTTAACTTGAAGGTGTCAAATGCAGGATAGATTAATTGATCTGTGTCCGTTCGGCAGGCTGATGATCATTGTTGTTGTAACTTTCAGAACAGCAAAAGTTATATTATAAATAAAAAACTGAATGTTGCAAAGATCGGTTTTTTTCTATGATGAATGACCGGAATGTAACAATGAAAAATGTATCGTTAGCGAAATTCTTCTTTAAAAATCCTCACAGTAACGCAGCATTTCTTGATTTACTTTCGAATTTTGTGAATAATCAAAAAGCCAAAAGAACCGAATGAAAATATATCTCAAACTCAAAAGACATTCAAGTTAATTTTTTTTTTTTTATCTTAAAGTTTATAGTCAGTAAGCTTGTATTCACTAGTTTATAGAATCAAGAAAATTGTTGTTAATGAATTTTAAAATGAATGTTAACATCAGTTTAGAAATCGAGTTGATTCATATTATTTCTCAATTGCTCTTCCAGTAACAAACTAAGACTGAAGGGGCTTTCCAAAAAAAAAAAAAAAAAAGCAAAAAGAAATGAATAAACTTATGTTTTTTATGTTAGACAAAATCTTGACTGACTTTCACCTCAATAACTAAGTAATAAGTTTTCTCCCTTATTGTGAATATGCGATTTGGTATTTGAATAAGATTCTCCACCGAACCATTATACGCTCCACTAAATATGCTTATAACACTTTGGATCGTATTATTAGCAACACACGAAAGAGAGGAATTCAAACAACAGAAAACAGGTCGACGGCGGTCTAAACCGTACTTTTCGGGTTTTACGACGCATTAAAAATTTATAAGACAATATATTTAGAAAAATATATTTTAATGTTACTTGCAGATCAAAATATTTATTTATTTTTAACATATGTCGTACTAGCAATATTCAGTTCATCTTCACTCTCTGTACAATCACTCCACTCCACTAGTCAATGTAACCGTTCATATTACTTTCTATTTTTGCCGTACCTCACGTATATCAAATATATTGGAAAAATATATTAATGTTACCTTCCGACTGTAACACGCACCCAAAATTTGAGTCTATTTTCTATGTAAAAAGGTGCGGTCTTATAAGCCGAAAAGTACGGTAAATCGGCTAAATAGATCAACCCTCTCAAGAATATATATACATTCAATTCTGCTGTTATGCGATAAATACATTTAAAAAAACTGAATAAGAACGAAAATCATGTGCATATTTAATACACTAGAGGGGATATGCTCCATCTTCTTAAACACTTTATTTTTTAATTACTAAAACGCTTTACGGATGTATTTAACGCGCATCGGGCCTAAGTAGTTTTTAAAATTCAATTTCAAACGCTGCCTTAACCGCGCTAGAACGATTGCAAGCTTTTTGGGTATTAAACTTAAATTTTTTAGATCGTTAAAACCATGTAAACGCTAAAATAAGCTTAGTTTTTCGAATCTCTAACGTTTATTTCTGGCTGATTTTAACGCAACTCACAAATTACCGTAAAGCATTTTAAAATGTGTATTAATTACAGTTAGCGCTTGTCTTGAAAATCAAAGCGTTAGACGGCAGTTATTATTATTATTATTAATTGCATTCAGCACGAAATAATATTATAATATTACGTCGCACTCTTGCTAAAGGATGTATGTGTGCGTGTGTATATGTATGTGTGCATCAATCCTCAAATGTAATTTTTACTAAATTACAATCTAAAATCTCTTGTGTATAGGTTGTGTTTAGATTCAAACTTAAAAAAACTTATAGTTGTAGTTGAAACGCGAACAACTCGGAAATTGTTGCAATTTTCAATTTGCGATTAATTTCAATAGACAGAGATGTAATGTATTATTAAGAAAATTTTCATAATGATTAAATAAAACGTGTCGTTGGGAAAACAATCGTTTATACCATGTATCGAGAGTGAAACAATTAAGTAGAAATAAAAAATAATAAAAAAACTATTTGAAAATCGGCTGTTATGTTGTGATCGTAATAGAAAAACAACAAGGGCAAAGAACATGCTGCATGATATGCACATTTGAATAACACTTACCCGCAGATAATGATGCCAAAGCATTGTACTAATGCTGGATAGAAATTGTTCATTGAAATCGTTGTGTCATGTTCCGGTTCTATAGTACTGGTAGCTATTGTTGTTGTTGTACTCATTAAAGCTTTTACAGTTGAGGTTATAGTGTTTAACGGTGTTAAAGTTACTTCTTTCATTGCAGAGGTAATTTTGGAATCAGTTGGAGTAGCAGCAGAGATTTCGGTGCCATCTGCATCGGGAAAATTTGCATATAAAGCCGTATCGCCATGTAAAGCGGCCAAAAACATAGAACTATCCATGTTGAAGATAGTAAATAGTGATAGTTTAAAAGTATTTTGGTTTTCCGGTTCACTTGATTTCCTTGTTATTATGTATGTATGTATGCGTTTTGACAATATTTAAACTATCTCAAGCATTTCACTATTATCATTATAAACATTTGGATGACGTATGTTACGGCACCACACACCACCCATTGCATTAAAAGGTATTAAGACGCAGTTGATTGATTAAACAACTTCGATAGGTGAAAATTTGTATAAGCATATATTATTCTTATAAACAGATAACAAATAGGTTTGTATATTTTGGCAATTTACAAAAAATGAATCGAATTATTAATTAATTCTAATTTCATTACATTTTATTCCCGTATAAATACAAATCAAGTGATGAATAGTTATTTTACTTTATCATTTTGATTAATTCATTTACTTTGTTTTAATTAAATTAAAATTTTCCCATTTATTCTCACTTTTTTTCGCACAAACACTTCTCTTCAAATAGTAGTTAGTAAATGTAAATGTCACGGGCTTTAACTGAATTGTCAAATAAATGCAAATGTTCTTCACAAGTTATATTATAATAAATATCGTAAATACAAGTCAGCAGCTTTACGGTAAGATCATGAAGTTCAATAAAACAGCTGTGATATCCATGACATCATTGCCATTTTTTTAATTATTATCGTAATTTTTACAAAACATTGCCAAATGCCAAAATAATTACAGGATTACTCATCTATCAAAAAGAAAGAAAGAAATATATATTTAAACAAAAGTGAATAATTTTGTTTAATTTTCTGTTTTTACCAAATAAAAATTACCAAACCGAAGTTAGTTATAATTTTTAATAATCAATAATAATATGAATCGTTTATTTGGTCGCAGTAAACCCAAGGAACCTGGTCCTAGCCTCGGCGATTGTATTAAAGGAGTAAGCAATATTGTTATAGCGAAACTTGATCAATATTTTTGAAATACTTTGGTACTCATTAATAATGGCAGGTGGATGAACGAGCTGGAGCTATAGAAGAGAAAATAAATAAATTGGAAAATGAATTGCGTAAATACCGTGAACAAATGTCTAAAATGCGTGATGGTCCGGCAAAAAATTCTGTAAAGCAGAAGGCTTTAAGAATTTTAAAGCAGAAAAAGGCGTGAGTATATATTTCATTATTTAAGGTACTAGTGGTACGCGGCATATTAGTTTATTGAAAATGGTCTAATTTCTAAACTAACTGATCCGCTAAATACCGCTGATTATTTCTGTATCTTTTTAAGCAAAGACAAAAAAAGAACTAGAAATGAAGTAAAGACACGTATTTTAAGCCTTTTTTCCAATATCAAATAATGCTTATCCTCACACTCCTTAAAGTCAGTACTGCTTCAAATCTAGTTTTTCAAAACCTGCCGTGCGCTAAGATGTTATTATGACTTTCACTGTTATAATTAGTTTTATTATACTTACCAACGAAAAGGATTTTTCGGCTGGTTACTTATAAGCTGCAACAAATTCAGTGTGAAATATTCTATTTAAATGATATAGCTGACTTTGCAATACGAAAAACACACAAATCGGCTACGTCCATCTAATCTTATACTGTCTCAAAATCTTATTTTTTTTGTCGTTATGTTTTATGATAAAAGTGGTGGATATAATAGTTATGGCCAGAGTCGAAAATAATTTTGTTGTTATCACTATTATTATTATTTTTGGTAATACTCTATTGCCCGTACGGCTTGTTGAAATGTGCTTTTGTTGTTTATTGCGGGCACAAAAAGTCTAACGAATGAAGAGAGAAGTTCGAAAAAGTAAAAACCTGATGTGCTTTGTTCTTTCGTCCTAGTATTATCTCCAGCTTGGAGTTACATTATAATAATAGCTTATATATCAAGCTGCAGGTGTGTGTGAATACCGACTCATATCTCATGGTACGTAATACTTTATCCCCTCGAATGCATTTTTGATTGTATATGGTCCCTTTAGATTCGAAATGTGTTCCTTAAATGACAGCGCAACTAAATGGATGACAAAAAGGCAGGATTCAAGTCTAATGTAATTTCGGTTTTGTTTTCAAAATGTTTAATAATTTCAATTTTCTTTATGTGTTTTCTCCTGCAAGTTATGAGCAACAAGCCGAATCTTTGCGTAATCAATCCTTTAACATGGAACAAGCGAATTATGCTGCGCAATCTATGAAAGATACTCAAATAACCGTGGCAGCTATGAAAGATGGTGTAAAACAAATGCAAAAAGAATTCAAGAAAATTGATATTGACCAAATTGAAGATATACAAGATGATATGGCCGACATGTTGGAGCAGGCCGAAGAAGTTCAAGATGCTTTAGGTCGGACTTACGGTATGCCTGAAGTCGATGATGATGAATTAGCTGCTGAATTGGAAGCCCTAGGCGATGAAATCGCTTTAGATGATGATACCAGCTATTTAGATGATGTGGTTAAAGCTCCGGCAGCACCCGATAGGGAACCGGGAGCCGATAGTATTATATCGGGCAATAAGGTTTGTATATAAAAGTTATTTTTTATATTTATTATAATATTAGATACATATGAATTGTTCTTTTTTTCTCTATACCTAGAACTCCATAGAAACTGATGAATTCGGTTTACCTAAAGTACCGACTACAGTAAAAACTACTTAAAATTTCTTTCGAACGAAAAGTTTAATTACTAAAAATTAATGTATGCTTTAAAACATAAAAAAAGAAATGATAAGCTTTTATTCTTGTCGTTATTTTTATAAACGTAAATTCATAATGCACTAAAATTTAAATAAAAACGATATTAAAAATATTACTGTCGGGCAAAGCTGAATTAAGTAACTCACATCGCATGATGTTCGTCACTTCGCATATTACGAATATTCATTTATTTTCGTGATAAAAAACCAAACGTGATGTAATAACTTTCTTCCTTGCAAAGGCATCCGTCTCATTAAAGCTCTTGTATGAGAGAGAGCGCTAGACGTGAACTGACATGGTCCAAATTTGGCAAGAAGAAATTATTTTTGCTAGAGATCTTTTTATGTTTCAGCTAGTCTAATCATATAAGAATGCTACAGTTACGGTGCCACATGAAGCTTACTTTTAATGAAAACACTTTAATGGGATGTGATTCAAAGCATACACCTACATGATTCACATTTGCTGAAGGCATTGTTCTGACAAATTACTATTACGGATCAATGTTCATCATAAAATATTTTAATAAATTTATAATTATCTACTTACTTGTCCTAAGGGGGGACATAGGGACAAAATTAGTGAATGTTTGCTAACTTTTTCGTACATGTAGCAATAGCGCTGATTAACTTTCACGATTACCTACCGTCACGGTACTAAAATTAAATTATTTTAAAGTTACGAGCAGTATGAGCCCATGCGGAGGAATTTTCGTTAGTCGTAGCTACAGTGTATGCTCAGTTGGCAAAGGCACTTCCCGATTTAGCAGAGACCTATTGGAAAAATTGGAAATTTCCTAGAATTTATTTACATTGCAGCGATGAACGATTTCATAAAATAAGGTTTCCATTGATTCTCAGTAGCAATCTATGTAAATTATTGGTGACAATAAAGTGGGATCGATCATTTAAACTTTTTTTTTTTTGGTAAATATTATTGGCATAACATTGCCAACCACATGGCTTTTCGGAGACATTACTTAATTGCTTCTCTGTCGCTTTCACTTTATTCCGTTTCACTATATTGTGCTTGGTAATGTTGGTTTGGGATATCGCCCACATTTCTCAGACTTTTCACCGGTTTCTTGCGTTTCCTTATAGACTTATGGAATAGGAGAATTATAAGTTTAATTTTTATTTGGGAAAAAAAGTTAAGTAAAGATTTTATAATTCGTACTATCAGAAATTCTACATCGAACGAATTCTCGGACTTTAAATTGATATTTTTTTTCTGATCGCTGTTTCTCTCTGATCATTAATATATAATAAAAGTGGAGTGTTAAGTTTTTTTTTATTGAAAAGTATTTTTACTTAAGAAAACTTGAACAACTAATTAATTTACATTTTCTGTATGCAGCTAATTTATTGGTAACAATATTTAATACTTTTATCCATTTTTATTACGAAAATTGAATTCTTTGTTTGAGTTTTTGGTATCGATTTGTTTTATAAAGACATGTAAAAAAGCTTATACTTTACATGACATCATTTTACATATACGCTTCACTGTGTAAGGCAGTTGTTGCGTTACCGCAATTGTAAATATATAAAAAAATAAATGAATTTGTTTTTTTCCAACTACTTGCGTATAAATAAATTAGGCTTCACATATAAGCGAATATAATATCAAAGTATTTTTTTTTTATCTCAACGAATTAAGATTTGTGGATAAACATCATTTTTTGTTGATATGTGCTTTGAACAAATCTAATTGCTTTGCCACTGTTGAATAGAAAAAAATATAAAATGATTAAAATTCAATTGGTATACATAGATGCGTGTAGATCAGAGGACAAACTTTTAATGTCGGTGGTCCCGAATTAGCCGCACGTTCGGCTTCTTCTAGACGTCGTTGTTTCGCTTCACTACGCAATTGTTGCTGCTTAACACGTTCCAGATCTTTAACGCCGCGATGTTCGTTCTCAAAACGACGTCTCTCGGCTGCCTCAAGTTGTTGCCGTCTTCGAGTTTCCTATGAAGACCCATATGCAAAACGCTATTGTTATTATTCCTTGTAGACATATTCATTTAAATTACCGGCGAAGGCATCAAATTAGTCTCGTCCGCATTATTGCTACAACAAGAACACAATCCACCCATTTCTTTTAAAGATTAAAACGATTAAATGAAGCGTAGGACACTTGGAACCTTATAATCGTTCACTAAAAAAATTATATTTGCATTGTTTACTTCTTTATAAGGTTCATCATTTACACATTTTGTTCTTTATCTTCGCTTCTCTTTCATTCGCCACGAAAACATATGTTCATAGGAAGACGTAGCAATATACAAATTGTTTTCGCCGCACAAGCGAAAAATCGGAGAATATTTCATATTTGTTTTCTATCATTTAATATAAACATAAAATGAATTAACGGTAAACCCTTAAATATAATTTCCTAACGAGCAATACTTTTTGGTTTTTTTTTTTCATTTATTTTATTATATTATTATTATCGCTCTCCTACTGCGATCCCAAGTACTTTTTATTTCACATGTTTTCGGTTCTTCCATATTTTCGTAAAATTTTGATACTTTAACAGTTTGATGAAATTAAAAAACAACTGTTAATTTTTTTGATCAATATTTCAAATTAAATTAAAGCAATAAAGCAATATTTTATTATACGAGGATGATATTATCGGTGTCGCTTTAACGTATCATTATTTTTTTAGAATACAATTTACTTTTAATTAAGATATACGCAGTTGAAAATGTCTTTTCAAAATTTTAAAACCTAATGATTATCAAGCACTTTGTTTGGAATGGGTTAGCTGCTGCTCATTGGAATGAATCTTATTTTTGACGTGATTTTTCTTTCTCGTCTGCTTTAAAAACAGTACATATTGTATACCATAATACGATATGCACAAACATACATACATATGTGCATAACAACGATTTTCGAAAGGCAACCATTGTAGCGTATTGCATAAAAGCCGCTATTGTTGACATAGTAAAGTAAAACAAACATACATATACATTTATTTCCATTCAAAAGTTTCATAAAGTTGTTCCCAAAGTTTTTCGCAGATTCCGAGTTAAAACAAAAAAACCTTAAATTACTATACTTATCCAAAGAATTACAATTCGTTCAATAGGATTAGAAACTAATATTAGAATGTTTTTAGAAAAGGAAAATGCAGAGCCTATTGAAGATTTAAAATGAACATCGTCTAGGGAATCTTCGAAAAATCACCTTTGGCACTCAGGCAACAAAAATGCACATCCAAATTTCTAGCTATTCCATTTATTCATATTGACATGCCTATTAGAGAATTCCCCGCTCAAAGGACTTTCAAGTATTATAAACAATAAAAAGCCCGCAGCGCCAGAATATGACGTAATTAAATTGGATATGATAAAAGCTGTTTTTCCTCAGAGTCTCATAACACCACAAATTGCCCTTAACAAATGCTGGTTTCGTAATAAAACAGTGAAGATCAATATCATATTCATCGTAATCATCCATTTTGGTTCAAGTTCAATCTTCCTCACTTCTATAATTGTGGCACAACTTTTTTAATAACAACCAAATAATTCCAAATCAGGAAAATAAATCCTCAAACATACGTATGTCTGAAAAAATTATTGCTCTTTGGTGTCACGGAAAAGAAATTAAAGGAAAACCTACTTATGCTATCTTTAGATATAAGCAACAAGGTCAAACTCTTCGTTTGTGAACTTTTAAATTTCTTTCCGGATGTACTCTGATGGGATCTGGGAGATCAATGATTGTTTGGCATAAAGTTGCTGTGTCAGCCTAAGTCTCTTTAATTTATACACTGCTGAGAATCAGTATGCTGATGGCTTCTCAATTGTCTCCGCCGACCGGTTGTTAATACGTTTTATAGGGAATAATGCGAACTCTTACTGAATATAAGTACTTACACTGAATATAAGCAAAGCTCAAACTTTCTGTTTTGTTACGAGTTCAAGTAAGACAATGCGTAAACGTAATTTGCTAACGTGCCTCAAAGCACGTATAATTCCGTAAAATTTTTTGAAAGAAGGGCAAATACAAAGCTAACATTCTCTGACAATTATAAAACCTGAAACTTAATTAGCGATTCAAACGATAATTAATGTCCGTACAATAAAACTAATGACAAATGCTTATGATGACCTCGGTTTTCGGGTAAGATTCGCTTATGGTATAAACTTTTAGATCGGTCTAAAATAGGACTTGTTTGTTCAATTACTTGCAATTGCCAGGATCAAGTTGATAGGCAAATTCAAACCTTTCAAGGTAAGCAGTTTGGCCCGTACTTACTCCGGTCTTCTCCAAATACATACGAGAAGGTAGGCTTCTCACAAAATTGAATGCATTAAGACTAAACATTTTCTTGGCTCTTTTGCCCGCTGTAGTGCACAATAAACGAAATTCTGCTTCAACAATAGCCCGAATAATCTATGGGGCAATCACATATGAAAGTTAAACTTTGCGCTTATATTTTCAGCTATTTAACGAAAACTCCTAAGTGGTTACCTTCCCCGTGTCAAAAACTCTTTTAAAATACATGCCATTAATGCCTGTAAGTGCAAATGGATTAGATGTGGCCGTTGTTCCATACAGTCGCAAACTGTCAATAGAATTAAAACTGGCAGAAAAGCGCTATACGACTTTTGTGAAATAATTAAAAATTAGTTATGCATTTGTATATGCAATCCAAGCACAGTGCACCAATTTATGTCAAAAAAGGAACGAGGGTTTATTGAATTTTCCTCAGTCATACGTTCAGAATACCATCTGGTTTGAGTAACGAGGCACTTTGGACTCATTCAATGAAAAAGTAGAGCTTTTAGCCAAAGAAGCGCTAAGAATTAGCAAAAACTCATTCCACGAAGCATGGGACGAAGAATTTCAAATTACTGCCCGAGCTAAAAGTGAATGGGTTTGTAGACAAAGTCTTCCTAACTTTGGACTTTGGACAAATTGTTCAACTCTTGAGAAATGAAAAATCTTTTATCACTTCCTAACGGGACACACTTATTATAAACCAGATCTCGCTGTATAGTTCGGGCAGGTGAATATTTAATCTCTAAATACAAAAAATATGATAAGATTAGATTCTTTTGTCAAGGGAATCCTTAAGGCAATCCTTAAGGCCAAATGCTTTTATGAAAAAACGAAATATTGACATTTTTATTAATATTCAGTTTAAAATTGTCACAATACTTGTCATTACAATAGTGTACTGAATCTTTCCCATATACATTTTAAATATGAATTATATCCCGGTTTTGAAAATATATCACTATTAGGCAACCCTCACTATAAATTAATTATACATTTTTTTTTTTTTTTTATCCAATGAAAATCCCTTCGTCTAGCTCTTAGTGGCACGAATTCTACACATGCGCTAAGCTGGGAACAGATGGAAAATGTTATAACTCTATAGGAAAGATTTCGTTTACTCGCCAATTTTTTATCTAATTAAATTGTATCTTTGAAAAGTCATGTGGCCTTACCTTTCTTCTTCTTCCTTCTTTAAAATATTTGCTGACAAAACTAATAACTTCAACATTTTAAGAAGTGGTGTACATACCTTGTTCAAAATTCTTCTTGGTTCTCAATACTTTCGAACAGTAATTAAGTTCTTACCAGTGAGAAAATCCATAGTTACTCCGGCACCACCGAACTACTCGAAGTTGGTCAATACCAAATGGAAACATTTTTCACTCATCTTTATTGATGGACCGAAGACAGATGTTGTACGAAGCGGCGCTTGGTTTCTAGATATTAATATAGTAACCTATTTGTCAAATCATTCGTATAACACTTTTATTTTCGGGTGAATGTCTTCCTTTACTGTCAGACAGTAAATCTGTGTTATCCGCTTTACAATCATTTCCCTCAGGTAAAACTCGCCTTACTAGAAATCAGATCCTTACTTTATAGCCTCATATCTGATACATTTTGTTTTCACTTCCTCTGGGTGCCCAGTCACATGGGCATTATTGGGAACAATATTGCAGATAAAATTGCTTCTCCCAGACCATCTCACATCTCATTTGAGATGTGAGCCGTGCTGTGATTCCTGAAGATTTGAGGACAATCGACAAAAAGCATTCAGTTCTTTCTTCACAACAACGACGGAATAATTCACCTTATGGTAGCCAGTTATACTCTTTATTTTCACAAATAAATAAAGTGCCTTGGTTTACCAATTGCGGACTCAGGCGTGACATTATTTATCTTATTAACAGGCTGCTGTTCAATCACGCGAGATATAATCATTATCTATTCAAAATTAACATCGTAAACAACCCTTTATGCACATGTGGAATCTTATAATCTCCTGATCCTGATATCCTATTTGTCTGTCCGAATGTTACGACTTCAATTCGCCATTCGACACTTTACAAATTAAGTACACGTGGTCCGTAACTATTATCGAAAGCATAGATAAAAATTCGTAGCAAATCCTTGTTAAATTGTGTGTGCGTGCAAATTTTCTTTTTAAGTAAATAACAGCAGAAGCGTTACGTTTTCGTTTTTCGCTAAGATCAGACTGCCTTTGATTATGGTCGCACTCGCATAAAATCTTTGCTCACCTTCCTGGCTTAATAGGCTAATCGTAATCCTTTTTTGATTTTTGGATATGGAATATGAATAGACTAAACTAATGAGATATGCCATTTATGTCTGGGTTAACGAAAATTCTTACAATTTAAGTTGTTATATATGATCAGCAAAAAAGCTCAGTTGGTTCATCGTATCGGTTGAATTTTTAAAATTGACTAATTAAACGTGACTTGACTTGCCAAGAGTGGCAAGTAGCAGTCGTCTAATATACCTGAAGACTTCCAGGCTTTGCTGTTAACGCATTCAAAACAAATTGCAGAGCCTGATACACGAGAGAAGGTTTTATGTAGATAGGGGCGAATATTTTGCTATTCAATCTTGACTCTATTCTAAATTTAAGAATATGTAGCAATATTAAGTTAGAACATCAATCGGCAAGCTTTAAAGGAAAATGATTGCATTTTATTACCATACAGTGGCAACAGAAATAAAGAATTTACTTCTCTTGACTAGCAATACTGCTGCAACTGCATTTAGTCCATTCACAAAGCTGCAGACTCTTAATGAAATGCTGTAAATTTTGATTAAATTCTTTGGCACCGTACTTAGCATCATCTCCTTCGCATTTGTCCATCATCAATTGGGCGCCGATTACGCAATCACTGGCATGAGTTAAAGTTTCCCGAAGCTGCTGGATCTTGGAATAAGAAATAAGGGGTTATAAGAATTCCATCATGTACAAGTTGTAATGATTTTTCTGTTCTCAACCGACTATTACGCTATAAGGAGAACCAACCTCATAGTTTTTACGTTTTTGTAAACGTAAGTAACGGCAGCACAGCCCTTCGAAACGTTTCTGCGAAGATCGATATTCATCCATCAGTTGGTCGCACTGAGCTTGTAACCTTTCTTTCTCGCATTTGCATATAGCTACTTGTTTCTCCTTTTTCAGCAACTGACGTCTGCATTGTTTATATGAAGTCGATAGCTCATCGTATCTGTAGTGTGTGAAAAAGTTTAAAACGAAAATGAATATCTCGAAGAACCAAATCATGCAAATGATGTCTATATTAGAAAAACTCGGACAAGTTTGAACGAAAAGAACTCCTTGCTTAAGAAGTTGCAAAATGAACTTCTTTTTAAAAATTTGGATGGCGTCTGCCGTTCCCAACAATTACCTTTGATGCATTAACAGAGGACTAATGGATTCGTATGCTTCATTGCTTGTATTTAAAGGCCATCTTTGTACGACACTCCGTCCGTTCTTAAGAGCTCTATCTTTCTTTGAATTTCGATCGTCATTTCCAAGTTCTTCCTCTTCCGAGGTAACCGAATCTACGCTGCGTATCAGATCCACTAAACGTTTATTGCGTCTCTTTTCGTTTGCCAGCGAACTACTTAAGTCACTTACTCGTTCTTTTTGATGTTCCAATGCCATGCGTAGCTTATAATCCTGCTGATGATCTTCGACCAAATAGTGTTCTAATTCGGAGACAGTGTGTAATATTTTGCCAACGAAAGCTTTATATTCAGATTCTTCCGACTGTTGGGAACGTTTGCTTTTCTTTGCTGCTGCCCTTGTTTTTAGTGCAGGTTTCCCTATTTCTTGCTTCTCCGTGTGCACACGGCTTCGATTTTTCTTTTTACTTTTATTATTAATGATGCTACCGCTCTTGCTATCGTTCGTGTTGGTGATTACGTTATTTAATATTATTTGTGCCCTGCTTGAATTGATTTCCAATGACATCATATATAAAGGAGCCACTCCTTGACACTTACGCTGCTCGCACTTCTTAAATCAATAGTAAAGAACTGCACTAAACTTAAGCTAAAACTAATGTCAAACTATTGTATTGCCTCGGCGTATAAAAATTGTCCTTTGAAGTGAAGTCCTCGTCGCGTAACTTAGTTAAAACGAACATATAAAAATAAAAATGATTTCAAATATATATATATATATATATATATATATATATGTGTTCCGTATACAACATTGAAGTTGATATAGAACAACAAAAACTATCTGTATTAAAAAATTGAAATATGTTTGTGCATAACATAGGGTGTGTTGAAAAGTCAATATTATTGATTAATGTCATTTGAAAAATATATGATGTGTTCATCATAATCCAACTTCCGCACTTTATGCACTTGCCATTCTAAGCTACTTTCTCGTAAGTAGCCAGTTCCAGTTATGAAAATTTGCGATAAGTAAATATAAGGAAGCTTCCTGTGTCCGATGTGAATTTTGAATAGTTTTTAAAGCCGTTATTGCTATTCGGAGATATGCTTGTAAGCCAATTTTAAAATAAACGTTGATAAGCAATTTAAACCTTTTGTGTAGTTTTGAAGAAGCATTTGAAAGAACTTTTCAAAAATTTATTGAAAAATTTGATAAAGTAAATTTGGAATCTAATTTCATATGGAATTTAATTTAAAAGATAATGAAAAATTCTTATAAAAATTTGCAAAAAAAAACTTTCAGTTTTGTAAATTTTCATGAAAGAAAAAAAAATTGTTGTATGAAAATGATTTAAAAATATATTTTCAGTACTTTTCTTCCGCACCTAATTGAAGGACGGAGGTATGAATACTTAATTTAATAGATGACTGTTTAGGTGTGATTTTTTTTTTTTTTTATTCACATGGGTTTAGCTAAATTTTAATAGTAGCACGAGTATCACTACCATTTACGGCATTAATATAATTTTCTTGAACATCTTTAACCATAAAGTCAACTAAATTATTTAAATCATATTTATGCTGCCAATTCCAATCGCGACGTGCCTCAGAATCATCAAAAACTTGAGGCCATGAATCGGCAATTAGTTGTCGATTGTCTGGTTTATAATTGACATGTAAATTTGGTATATATTTACTTAAGCACTCGACCAACTCTTCGGGTGTGAATGACATCGCGGTCACATTGTAGACGCGGCGTTTCAATTTGTCGTCTGGGGCGCACATGAATTCGTGGAGAGCTCTATATCATTGAAAATGAAAAAAATTGTTTAAAACGTAAAATAATGTAAACAATTATTACCTTAAGCAATCCTCTATGTACATCATTGGAAGACGTGTATTGGGCTTCAGGTAACAAGTGTATTTACCGGTTCTTAAAGCCTCATGGAAAATGGCTACCGCATAATCTGTGATTGACATTAGAAATTTGATTGCATTTATAGGAGGGGTTGGGGAAAGGTAATCATAATAAATTGTTAATAAATTTTATTTAAACCGATTAATTATTGTTGTTTTTTCGCGCGTTGTCGAGCGCGAAGTTAAACTTACCAGTGGTGCCGCCACCTGGTGGATCGCTAGATATAACACCTGGGAAACGTAGACATCTAAAATCTAAACCAAACTTATGATAATAATACTCGCCAATTAGTTCGGCGTGAACTTTGGAAACGCCATAAATGGTACGAGGCCGTTGTATCTAAAAAACGAATTGTCAATGAATGTTCCATGCAATAAAGTTAACGGTCACATACCGTCACATTTGGTGTAGGATTACGAGGACTATCTGGACCGAATGCCCCGATTGTACTCGGTACAAAGATGCGTAATTTGTATTGCTTAGCAAGTTCGATGACATTGTGCACACCTTCAATGTTGACTCTATTAGACACGAAACGAAAAATAAAAATATGTAGTAAATGCGCAATAAAAACAAAAAAAAAAAAAAAAAAAAAAAAAAAAAAAAAAA